AACACATTGGATTTAAACGACTTTATTAAACCCCTAAATCTTGAGTTGACCTACCATCATTCAGGAGAGGGCTGTCTGACGTTTCCAAACCAAAGGGTCAGAGAATCCTCTCAGCTCTATGAGACATGTCACACTCCCCTAATCCACTCATTTCTCACAGGAACCAGTTTCCTAACGGTAAGCCAGTGCTCTCTCTTGCTGCCTTTCAAACGAGCCTCTCACATAACCACATTCAGCCATACAAGTACGCCTACAAGCAAGGATAAAATATAATTTAAGTGCTCAGATGAATCAAAATGAAAGGTGGAAGTTGATTTTTATGTCTGTAATGTCTGTTAAACTACTTTAAGGTTTGCTAAACCACTGTTTAATATGGCTCTGTTTATGCTGACACAAAGTCTGCTGTTAATGTTCAGGAGACATGGTTGACTCCGGAGTGATATTCTCAGTGTGGTTAAATACCTTATATTTAAAAGTGTTTTTCCAAAAGAAAAGAAAAACATTGCATTTTAGATTTCCGTGCTTCGTGTTCTTCAAACACATCTTCAAAATTCATATCTGAGGTATGGCAGTGTGTAATGTTTCCTTCAAGTAGGCTACATATTTAGGAGTACACTAGAATAATGTTAGAATATGTTTGTCGTCTAAACGAGGTCTGCACATGTATATCCATTAGCCAACAATTTTACCATGGTTTTATAGTTTCTTCAAAAATACTGTAGTTACCAAAATTATTAGAACTGTACTGTTGAGTAAGCTTTCGTCGTCTTTTTTTCAGTGACAGTCGTGGAAAATATTATTTGATTGTAAACTCTCGTGAACTCCTCATATGCACGTCACTGCACAGATCGCGTGAGTGTGTTTGAAGCACGCATTATGCGCCCCGGTCGCGTGCAGTTCAACAACTTTTCTGCCTCCTTCTCCCTTCATTTAAATGTTCAAAGGAGACGCATTAAATACAGTTTGTTATGGCATTGAGGGCAAGACCACATGTTTTCTTAGGAATTTTTGCAGTTATTCAGATTCAATTTACCTTACAGGAATTGCCATCCAGTGGTAAGTCATTATTTTTATTTATATATATATATAT